GCGGATGCCTTCTCAAGTTTTGTTCAAGCCCCCCCCCCCAACTCAGGTCTAAACCACTGAGCTAAACGCGTTCGCCCCTCCCCCCTCCTCCGGTAGAATTTATTAGCTGCCCCCCCCTCCCTTTGGCGAAAGCCTGGCTACGCCACTGGTGCAAACAGAAGCAAAGATACCGTCCAACTTCCGACGAAGCTTCTGTTATTTGCAACAAACTCATCATTTTGTAAGGGCGCAATCGAACGTGGTCCCCTGCCGCTGTCACATCATCCGATACATGGCGTACACGAGTGGGACATCTATGACATGACATCACTGGTCGGTAGTATGGCGACTATCTGGAAGGCATTGCCCGTTTCCTGGCTGAGCTAATTCTGCTGGATTTCTTCTTCAGAGAAGTCCATTCGATTCCTGCAATAGACATGGAATCCTCTCCAACAATAGAAGGTAACATTGTAAAATTTAGTTTCGCCTTCTCACTGGTAAAATTTGGGGTTGTTAAAAATCGTTCCAGCGAAACATCTAATATATTTAACGTAGGCATGCGAAAAAATGGCATTTTTTCTTAACCACAAGCTTCGTTTTTGTTAGGAGAGTTTCTGCACAGCTAAAATAGGCCTAAACCTTGACCTTGACCTGAGTCTGTTGCACGTGAACCCGACCCGAGACCATTAGAACCAGTGGATTCAAAGGTCTCAAAGGTGCAGAGCAGAAGCTGTTTATGATGGATGGTCTGTTGGGTCATGATATGAGCGCATTCCTAGAGGAAGAAAGGTAAAGTATTAAGTTACACTGTTTTGGTTGATCAGCCTAGTTGAGGACACATGACTTCAACAGGACAACTCATTTTAGCTATCTTGTTTGGTGCATCTACTGCCTGTGTGTAAGACATTACAGGAGTTTGATGCTTGGGAGGAGCACATGCCAATTTCAGACATATCTTTGTCATATTTTCTTATGTACAAACTATTTTAGGCATTGCAGATTAACCAACCAATTTTTTAGATGAGTGATTCCCTTTTAGATCCCGGGCATCGTTCGCCTTGCGCACACCCCCCCACCCAGAGTACGTCTTGTGCCCACCCATGTACACCTTGCACCCTTGTCCTCTCCTACGTCAGAGTGCGTCTCGTTCCTGGCTGACTTCCCACGCCCTGGTGAGGCATTGATGTCAAATCATGAAAACTGACCTCCATGTCTGGAGTACGTTTTCATTTATTTAAGCCCTCTCCCACTGGAGGAAGAACGCATAGTTTATAGTTTATAACACTGCTGGCAAAATGTGAATGCATAGAACGGCATAAATTGCATAAAACAACAAACGAGCCGTGAGCATGTCAAAACATCGAAAACGCAAGGAAATTGCTTGAGAACAGTGACTGCTCGAGAACAGTGGCTCCAGTCGGGTCGGGTCGGGACGGGACGGGACGGTAAAGCCGTGCCCATGCATTTTACGCTGGTAGTGAAGATGGCTCCAGTGGTCCCCCACTTTCTGCAACAACAACTTCCTCACGTGTGCCATGTTGGGCTTTGATAACCCTCTTGCATAGGGGCATGTTGCCTTAGTGTGTGTGAGACGTACTATGCGAGTGCACACTGTGTGCATGGCACTCTGGTGGTGTGCGTAAGACATACAATGCCCTAGATCCCAATCCCTTGGTTCTCTTTGGTGCAAAATTTTCAGCCACTTGTTATGACAAGAGGCTCCATTTCACATGCACACAGAATAATACTTTGCAGCTCTTTGAGCACTCATTTTTCTCAGAATGGAATTTTGGTGCCATTTCATTCTTTTCTGTAATGCTCATTGTTAAGCTGGTTTTCATGTTCAATCTTTAAAAACAATGAAAGTAGAGATATTACTGGAAAACCATTGTGAGAACTATACCTTAGAGAGCCCAGGGGCAGTTAAAGGTTCTCATTTCACTCGAAGATTTGGAAAAAACTGTGCTCATTGTATTGGTCATATCCTGTTTCATTGTTCTTCAGCAAGAATCATGAGCAAGGGATAGGAGTTTGTTTTGAGACAAATTTTTAGCTGGGTTTTCACTATTGAATTGGCTCATGAAATGTGCTATGAGTATTTGTAATTTTTTCCATTTGGCACAGAGGTAGGGCAAGTTTGGTTCTAAGACATAATTTTAAGTTGGCCTATTTCAGGAATTCAAAATGCTCTCCTGTGGTGCTGTCAGGGCAGGGAATCAATTTATTTATTATCTCATCAGAGGGCTTTATGATTAATCTAGGAAAGGAATATCTTGGCTAAGCCACCTTTTTTGTGATCAGCTGCATATCTTGGACAGGAAATGTTTCATGCACAGGCATAGATCTATCTTAGACATTTGATTGATGTTCACTGGTTGATAATGGATGGGGTATTCCCAAAGAGTCATAGGTTTACCAGAGTCACATCTTGTGGGAATTCTGCTACCCTCATCACTTGAACATCAGTCAAGCTCAGCAGTCATGGTCAAAGTTTCAGAACTGAAAAGGAGCACAAGTAGAGAATGCCTAAAAACAAATTTAATGCTGGAGTAATTGATTTTTCTTGTCTTATATTAAATTTGAGTTGAAATTTTAGTGGCAGTTAAAATGAGAAGATATTGAGCATTCCATTGGTGAAGATTGCATAAAGATTGATGAACTCTGAAGTGAGATATAGAAAGACAAAGTACATAAGCAAATTTCAGACAGCTATTCCATTGTGGGCAGCTCACATAAAGGAATCCAGTAATTCAAGCACTCAAAGAAGCTAGTGATCCTCAAGTGTACCACAAGGGGACTTCTCACTATGTTGCTGGTTCTTCATGCTTGGACATGCATGTGCATGCATGCATCTACCTACCTGCCCAAGCATTGACACGAAGAACACATGACTATGGAGCAGTTTTTTATGCAAATGCATATTTTTTCTTCAGCCTCCTATGAACATGCAACCCAGATAGGATCATGTCTCACTGGTAGAGGAAACCATTTATGCCATTTTAAAAACACATAAAAATGCATATTTTCATGTTATTCTCAGCATGTGTATATTTATGCATATTTTGTCCATTTTTATAGGAAAAATAAGGGTTTTCCAGGAAAATGTGCTTTTCTTATGAGCTACCAATGAAAATTTTCATGCATTTATGAAGTCTGACCACCAGTGTAGCAAACGGTGGGGTGAGGTGATGAAGTCCCCTAACTCTGCTCTAAATTCATCCGTCACCTCCGCCCTTCCTGAGAAGTTTAGGAAATTCTAGTCCCTGTTTGTTCCCGTTAGCTCTCCATTGGCGAATTCCTGGTTTCTCTGCAGGCTGTGACAAGAATAGACCAACTATACCCAGTAGAGGCATGCAATGTACATTGAAGTTCCTTCTAAAAAATTCTTACTGCATTTTAAAAAATATGTTTTTGCATATTTTCCCATATTCGTGCTCATCTCATGCATATTTTGGCATTTTTAAGTGCATATGTATGTGCATATTTTAGGACTTATTAGCTCATAAAAGACTGCTCCCTACGCATGACATGCAAAGTGTGAAATGCCCCTAACAGACACATTAAAAGAAATAGAATTCCATGATGACAAAGAACCTTTGACTGAATGGGTCCATCGAAAGCTAGAAAATGTTTGTGTCAAATCTATGAGAGTCACAAATAGTAGAGAAGGGAAGTAATACTGGATGTATTTTTTCTTGATGAAGAGTTTAAGAAGAAAGGCTTGGTTGGCACACTGTGGAAGGAATAGATATCTGCTTGATATGATCCAAGAACAGCATCACCATCTAGGTTTGTGTCAAGAGAAGTTGTGGGGAAGTATGTGCTTGTATAAATAGGGGGCTTCTGCAGTTCTTGCATATGAGTTAATCCCCTTAAAAATCTGGATGTTGCATTGGCAACAGGCAAGCAAAGTTCAAGACCTTCAGCATCATTGGATGTCTATAGGAGAGCAATGGGTAGTTAGGTGGTAGCATTTCAGCCATGTTCCCAACTGGACCTGTGGCTTCTCTCATCCAGAGGACTGAAATGGTTTTTGTTCACTTCCCATAACCATTAACATAAACAAGGTAACATAATTGCACCATTTCTTACTTAGTGGCCTGTGAGCATGAAGATATGTGCCAGAGATTGGTTCAGGACATCAGAAACATGTGCAAGAAATGTACCATATTTTTATATTTTCATCTAAAAACTATAGTGTACCAGCCCAGGTACAGATCTGGCATTCCACTGGCCCCTGTACTACTGGATTTATTATATATATTCACTGTCTAATCATCCAACCTTGAAGTAAATAATAACTGTCATTGGTTTGGCATAGGCTTATATGAAAAGGCCTGAGCAACTAGATATGTTCTTGATGGTCTGCATCGTGTGGAGATGGGAGGACATATGAAGTGTAGGATGCCAGATACGGCATTTCACGTGTATGCCTAGCAACCTTGTCTATGCGGCCGGGAGCAGCCACTCTTCTCCATTGTCTACTGTGGATCCATTAACTACCAGGACTGGAAGGGAAGTGGATGTTTTCATCAAAGACAGACACCCTGACCCAGGCAGAAAGCTATGCGTAAGCAGCAGGTCATGTTGTCCGGTTGGTATGTTTCCTGCTGACAGACAGAATGAAAAAAAAAAAGTGACTGACTGACCGTAATATCTGGAATTTCCCTGTAGTACCTATGGGAATGCCAGATGAAAAAGAAAAAAAATGTGACAGACCAATTGCAATATCTGGCATTTCCCCATAGTACTTATGGGAATGCCAGTTAATAAATGTTAAGGAAAGTTAAGCTAAAAAACAAGTTGCTATTAGCACTTACAGTGCCAGAGTTGATTAGATTGATGCTGCAAATTTGTTTTAAATTGCCAGAGTGCTTGATCGTGTTTATCCTCTCACTTTAACTTTTCTAGTGCTGGCTCTCTGACTGGCATTTTAAAATGAAATTTGTAGCATTGAGCTAATCAACTGACACTAAAAGGGTTAAGGGGTAAAGAAGGAAAGTTAACCTGTTTGCAGCCGATTATGCACTTCATTGTTATTCATGCCATAGAAACATGCATCATCAGCAGCAAATGGGTTAAAGGGAGACTGGTAGGCCTGTCTCTGCTGATTCTGGTGATGGAGATGATAAGGAAGGTGTACGGTTGAAGAGGAGTTCAGAATGTTTCCATCATATATGATGGGAACATTCTATGTGGGGAGCTGTCCAGCAGTGTCTCTTGAGGTAGTGTTTTGGATGAAAGGGTCTGGTCAGGGTCTTGAGGCTATAATGCATCATGCTGAGATCACCTTGCTCAGATCCTTCCATGCCAGAAGCTGCAATGGAATTTAGTAATTTTCAGCTTCAAGAGGTTCCTTAACCTCAGGATGAGCAAAGGAGGGATGTTATCTGATTGAACGTTTTGTCACGGATATGAATGGCATCTATCATGGGGGTCTAACCCTCTATCTAACCAGGTCTATCTAACCAGTCTTGTGGATGCAAGGATATACAGGTACTGTGTGGACTTGTGATTGAGTGATTGCTTTTAATGGATGTTTTGAAATTTTCCTTCTTGCTAGGATCAGGTAGAGCTCCATGACCACCCCAAAGAGGCAACTTAAAAATAGACCTTGTTTGAAGTGAAGATGATGCCATGCAATGATTTGGAGATGATCCAAGATATGCAGCCACTTATGGAAGCAATTAACATCAGTTTAACTGAATCTAAGCTTAGTCGTAAGCCTATCCCAATTCAGGCATTTCATAGGTCTCTTATTAAGTCAACCCTATGGTTGGTTTAACATTTTTAATCTTTGTCTTATTCAGCTTGATTAAACAGGATATGAATATTTAAGTCAGTGGTGGGATTTCTTCTTGCTATGCAATTCTTTTTTTTGTTTGTTTCTTTCTTGATTCAGAGTTAAAAAAACACATCTGTGATTTGGAGGAAAGCAAGAAGTGTCTCAGAGCAGAGAAAGAGCAAATGGAGCAAGACTTTGGGATGAAGAGAGCTAAGTTCCGTGAGCTTTACCTGCACAAAGAAGGTAGCTTCTCATATAGTTTTTAGGGGCTTCTCCTGATTGAATTGCTTTCCAGTCCCTTATCAGATAGCCTCCACTGTAGAGCCCTCTTTAGCCCGTATTCTTCTGCACCCATTTTTCCAGTGTTGTAGGCTTTGTGCCTGTTGTTGTCCACCTTTGGTGTATTATCATTTGGAAACATGGATGCTGACCCACTTGGAAGGCTTGCCCAAAGTTAATCTGTAGGTACCATCAGTGGGTGCAGCTAAAACATCATTGCAGAGAAGCTTATAGTCCCAAATGAAGGCTCCCACTGGACATTCCTAAAAGAGACCTACTTTCAGTCCCATTGATCTCAAGGCAATTCCTTGGTTTGAGTTTTGCACCTTGATTGAGGAAAAGTACCTTGTTCATCTGTCATAGCTCCTGAAACTCAAATGGGGAGGAGAATGCATTAGAAGAAGTAAGTAATGTGACTGATTGAAAGGTGGAAACAAAGTTTGTTATAAAAATTCTTGAAGCTCAACTACAAAAGCTGCAAAATTAAAACTTTGAAGGATGATTGAAAAGTGGAAGTACTCAGTCACATGTTCATCTTTGTGGAATCTGCTCCTTTTTAATTTGCAGGTTATTGATGGCTTAGCACTTTGAAAAAGTGATTTAAATGCCACACTTGAATGCAGAAGAAATGAAAGTTGTTTCATGGATGAGGTTGCACTAATGCTCCATTACAGGGTGACACAAAAGTTTTGTACACTCAGTTTTTTCAAAATTGTATAACTTTCTTAAACAGCTAACAAACAGGACAACACTATTAGAAACTACTACAATTTCAACAAATAATACCAGCAAAATCACTCAAAATGAACACCTCCTTTTGCTTTCCCAAAATCGTGAAGTCTTTTGGGAAAAGCATAGACTGCAGCATGCAGCATTTCTTAGGAGATTTTGAGCTATTCTGCTTGTAGGTCTCACTCCAAGGACTTGACTGATGCATGTGGAGTAGCACAGGCTTTGTTCTCCAAGATGCTCCACACAGTATAGTCCAATGGGTACAGGTCGGGACTATACGGAGGCCATACTACCAAGGTGATGAAATCAGGAAATTCTTCTTTGCAGAAGGCCTGAGTGATCTTTGCCTTGTGGGCTGGCACAGAATCCTGTTGAAAATTCCATTTGTGGTTCTGAAAGTGTTGTATGGCCCAGGACTTTACTGTACCCTCCAGGATGAGGTCATGCTAGACAGTCGCATTGATCTTCATACCAGACGGCAAGAAAACCAGTGGTGTGTGCCCCTCTGCTGTGATTCTGGCCCACACCATCACAGAAACTGGGATTTGGTAACACAATGGAGGTCTGTAGAGATGCCTGATGACTCTGCTGCCTACACTACATGACATGGGTCATTTTGAGTTAACCTTTTCCACTCGAATTTTTGCATCACTCAATGTACCAATGGGCGAGTATACTCGCCCATTCGAGTGGAAAAGGTTAATAGAATGCTCGATTGTGAAGAGCTTCTCGTCAGGAAAGAGGAAATTGCGATGGCCACCATCTGTGAACCTACTTCATTGCAGTCTAGTCGTCTTTGCTTGTTCTGTGAGAAATTGAGTATTATGGAGCTTGAAAGGCCAGAGATTCAGCTTGTTCTTGACCATTCACCAGAGCAATTTGCAATTTATCTTTGTTGTTTGGGCCATTCTCCTCTGATTGCTTTGGATTGCAGCAAAGTCAAGATTTTGATGCTCTTTTGATGCTGGCAGTGGTTGACAGACTTTTGTCAACCCAATCAATGATGATCCTTGGTAGAGTTTGCTCAAGAAAATGCTTGATAGTACGTTTGATGGAGTTCTGGTTGTAGCCGTTGTTCTGGAGTAGCTGGAAGATCTCAGTGGGAGACTTCCTGACTTCAATGCAAACTTCAGACAACCCAGATACATGAAACTTTCAGAAAACAAATTTTGTGATGTTTCCAATATGATACATTAACATCACAAACTTAGATCATCTACAGCTGGATTTATAAAGCATCAAACAGGATGCTTTTTTTTGGGCCACCCAATATATAGAGTGGCCCAAAATAATGTACCCACTCTTCCAGTAGTTTTGATTTTCTATGATTATTATCTAAATGTTTAAATGCTGGCAGATGACAATTTTAGCATCTCCGGTGAACCTAAAGTGTATGAAGAGATTAAAGATTGTATTAGATATTTATAAATAAGTAATGCTAACATGTGATTTTTTTTTCAGTTATGTAGTTATTCAAAATGTGGGTACATTTTTTTGGGGCCACTCTGTTTAAGTTTCAACTTTGCAGCTTTTTCAGTTAGGCTTCAATAATTTTTTATTTTTGGTTACAAACTGTGTCCACCTTGTAAAATGTGGGCACATGTTAAGTATACACAAAGGGGTCAGCTGGGAGCTACATTCTGCTTCATCTCTTTTAATGTGGCTGGGAGAAGTGTAAGAAAGAATATTGAGGGGTAAGGTAAAAGGTGTGACATCATAATGCTGTCTGATACCAATGAAGGTGATTCAGAAGTTCAGGAGGACATATGCAGCAGAAACTGCTCCATTTTGCAAGACAACCCAGGTAAGGTAAAATACCCAGTGGTGGACTTGCAAAGGGCCTGTACTTTGTGATGGACAATGGGTCCTGGAAAATTCCAAGAATTAAGCCTTCCTATGAAGTGACATGCTTCTAGGTTGCATGTCACTCCAGGGGTGTGTGCTTTGCATGCTTAGTTGTTGGAATTTTATGGATTGGATTGCATCCTGCCAGAATTCGTTGCACAAGATTGGCCTTGATAAAAAAAGAATGAAAGTGCCTGAAGGCCCATGGCAACAAGCCCCCTCCAAGGTGCTTGGAACCCAATGTATTCAGTCCTTCCCCTTATAAAGCACCCGCCCTTGTAGCAAAAGAGCACTATAAAAGAGGAGCCACCTATCCACAAGAAAAAATTTTTTTTTTTCGAGCACTACAGGTAATTCACTCTGCTAACAAATTGTGTGATTCTAAATTTTTGAGAGAAAGGACATTGGAGGGCAATTTGATTTGCTGCTTATCGCTTTATTCAGGTTAGGATCATGAAGGGTGTTCGTATTTAAATGCAACATAGGGAAGTTTTGCTGCCTGTTTATGGTGTGGTGTTTGTGTTGTGGGCTCAACGGGTTGCATATATAGAAGAGTGAAACCTATCCTTGGTGTGCTTCTTGGCACATATGCAACCTGGTGGGCCTTATAGCGTTCACTGAACTGCATCTACAGGCGGGAAAACATTCCCTATGTTGCGTTTAAATACAAACACCCTGTATATGGATGCTTGAAAATAGTGTAAAGTTTTGTTACTGGGCTTCCTTACTGTTTCTGTAGTGGCTGCTAATAGGATGCCTGCATTATGGAATTTGATTAGTTTAATTTATCGATTAATTGATTAAAGTATTGATCATGATTTTAAAAATTAGTCAAAATTGATCTAATTTTAATCGACCCCCTAATCTCCCCCTGAATGCCTCTTTTTCCCCTTATAATTTTATAATAGAATAATAATTTAATGAATTAATCAAATTGACTGCCCTAATGTTATACCATGTTGGACTTACACAAGCTACCAGTTACTATCTGATTGGAAAGAAAGTTCTCGGAATTTCATGAATATCCAGTACAATTTTTTTTAGATGTTTTCAATTAGATATATTACTTTCAGTCAAACAGAGAGACATGGGTAGCTGAAACTTGGAAGGGCATGCCTACTGAGGCATTCAGTTCAGGAATTGTATCAAATTTTAGATGCATGCTCTGGAAAAAAATTGTATTCCAAGAAATTCCGAGAACTTTCTTTCCAATAAGATAATTTTCTGCTCCCATTGCCCCCATAGAGTAAGACATGACATCTCTATATACTGTTTTTTTTTTAATGTTTTGTTCTTGTATTTTGTTGATTTTCAATTGTAATAGTCAGTTATTATTTATATGTTGGTGTATTTTATATATTGATACGTTGCTAGTTGTCCTTTTTCTTCTGTCTCATTCTTTTTTTGAGATAGAAGGGACAAATATAATAACTTGTGGTATGTATGTCACTGTCAATTTTAGAAAGTCACTTTTTTTTCATGAATGAAGCTGCTCAGTTTTATAGGAAGTGCAAAAAAAAAACAGCAGGAAAATGAGGATGGCATGTCCTGTAAGAGACTTTTAAACAATTGTATCAATCATTTTTGCCAACTCTGGGTGCAAAATAAAAGCATTTCTTGCCATCAATCATTGAAAATTTTGTTGCTTTTTACACAATAAACTTTTCTCAAGGTTACCCTGACTGAGATCTTTGGCTGAGTTTACATTTTCAGCATCAGATACTGCTAATTCCAAATAACTCTTCAAAAAGTGATTCTCAAGACTTTTGTACAGATGGAAAGCAGTGGTGGCTTGTCAGGGCTGGCCAGTTAGGCCAGGCCTACCCTGGACCTAAGAAAAAGGAAAGCACCTAGAGCTACCGTGAATTGCAAGTAATTTTCAGTTTATGTTGGCCTCTACTTGATGAAGTTTTAAGTATGCCACTTGCCAGAATAATTGGACCAGAATAATAATAATTGGTTGGAGTTCCTGAAAATTGATGGCTGAATAATGGAAGTGAGTATTGCCATAAGAAAAGGCTGGAGAATGCTGTCTGCAAGTGGGTTGGTTGGCTTGGGCTTCCCTGCTTTTGCTCGTGAGGAGGATGTGCAATTCCTACTTAGGCCAGCCTCTTCATGGCCCAATATGCTCTAATTCAATGGAAATGGGATGAAGGGGTTGAGAGGGGGAAAGTGAAGTTAGTGGACTGGAACTAAGCCTGAGATATGAGACCTCAGTCTTCCTTTGCCAAATTTATGCAACATTGCCCTATGTTCTCTTCTCTCCTGCCCTCAAGCATCCCCCTGCCAGTGACTTATGTATTGGGGTTCTTGCAGCTGGTGTTGCAATGCAGCTGTTCAATGTTATGTTTCTACATGGCTCTGCTAGTAATATTTTAAAATATTGCATTAACATAGTTATATTTAAAATAATATTTTATGTAACCACATACCTATTAAAGTGATAATTAAAGGATTAAAATATATTAAGGAAGGACTCATTTTGACCAACTCACATTTTCTATCATAGTGATAGAAGTGGCAGTAGTTTTATTTTTTTTCCATATTTTAGGTCTTGCCAATGCAGAAAGACAGGAGATATTGTTGCCAATTAATTTGGACATTGTTTTGATGTTAATGGATACAAAATTTTCCTGGAAAGAATACCCAAGCCAAAACTGCAAATTTTGTAGAAAGGTAGGGCAAAAACTGTTACGCAAATTCTTGTATGAGAACTTAAAGGGCTGTTCTCCCTGTGGCAGGCCTAAAACTACATTATTGAGAAGGTTTGCCATTCGGACCAACAAAGGAATTATGGGATGAGTCCCATAATTCCTTTGTTGGTCCGAATTATACATGTATTTTATTGCCATCTTGGGTTTAACCCAGTAGCATAGCCAGAATCTCATTTTTTAAAGAACCAATGAAGTCATGTGGTTGTCTAAAAAAAATCAAAGCCTCACATGAGCTACGGGGGAAGAGGGGTAGGGCAAGATGAAGCTGTCAAATTGGGGGGGTGGGAGGGGGAGGGGCAGAGAAGTTGATGGAGACCCTAGCTACATCTCTGGCCTTCCCTAAAGCAAGACCCATGAGCTGCCACTAGAGGAAAAACTTAAAACTTATGATAACAGGTAAGGAACTGGCTGATTTTTTTTTCCCAGTTTAGCCACTGCTAGTAAGGAAATAATTTAATTCTCATTTTCATTGGTACAGGCAGATTTGATGAACCTTGTTATATCCTGCATGGTTTCAGTTACCATGCTGCATGTTTTGCAATTTAAACTGGTTATGACAGAGGTGGTATTGTGTATGGTTTCTTGGGCCCTGCATGAGTAAGATAGATTTCTGCTGTTCTGTTTTTCTGTTGTTTGTATTCATGTATTTGGTAATGGGAATTCTCATCTGTGTTCATGCTCTTGAAGTGGAGACTTACTCGTACCTGTTTTAGAGCAATTGAATAAGGAGTCAGAGGCCTTGATGAAGAGTCAGGCGGAGGAACAGCGTTTGCAGAAAGAAGTACAGCGGCTACAGAGTGAACTGGATGATGCCAAGAGTCAGGTCACCATTGCCCAGTGCACACTTGAGAATGTAGAAGTTGAAAATCACAGATGGCAGGAGGAGGTGGCAACACTTCGGCGAGTTCTCTCTGGTAATTTCCTGTCCTCATCCACTTGCAAAGTTTCAAATATGTTGTGAACTCATTCCTCAATGGGAAAAGTAAAGAACAAAGCATAATAGTAAGCCAACTCAGGTAATTTGAAAAGTTTATTGAAATGTCATTCAGCTTGAAAATTGTATCAACCAGGGCTTTAGAATGGAACAAAAACTCTGAACAGAACATGGAATGCTATTCACTGGTGGCAGACAAACAAAAACCAGTATGGAATGAAATTAATTACTCCTGAAAACAGAATAATTTCATTTCATTCCATTCCAAGTACACTGACCATTTCTTCCTTGCAATTGTGATTTTTGGAAATAAAATTCTGGTGTAATGTGGGTATGAAAAAAAAAAAAAATTGTGCTAAATTTCTCTGCGAAATAGTGAAATAGAATTAAATGCAATGTAATGGAAATATTTCATGGAACAGAACAGAAACCAGAACAGGGAATTAAAAAATTCCATTCTGAAGCCCTGGTATCAACATAAGTAAAACAAGCAGTGAATGTCAACCGGAAGAGTTGGTCATCAGTTCTGGCTTGTTACAATATGCATTTGCTTTATTTACTTGGTTTATAAGAGAGAATGTTTGATGACAAGTGAAGCATTACACTGGCAATGAAATGATTCTGTTGATTGAGTCGGTTTCATATTTTTTAATGGCCAAACTGTCTATGTTGGCCTTCTAAATGACTGCTTGGACATGAAGACCAGGTTTCTCTTTTTGTGGAACTCTTTATGAGGGGTGGTTCAAAAAGTTCTGCAAGTCAACTTGTAAATTTCAAGTGAATTAAATATTAATTAAAACAATGATATATTTAAACCTTCAAAGTTCTACCCCCCAGCATCTATACATCACTGCAGCCTCACCAGCCAATTCTGGAGAGCCCCACAGTACTCACATGCAGGGATAGATTTTAGGGCTGATTTCACTGATTGAGCAAGGTCCTGAACCCAAGGTTGGCTTCCCTGTGTATGGCCTGTGGATGAGTCTACATGGATGCCTAGCATTTTCTTGGGGAACAATGCTTTTCTGTATATTTCAGAATCTAGGGTATTTGTTAAATGTACAGAATCTGGCCATTATGGAAAGCAGAGTAGCTATGTCATTTGGCAGTCACTTCATAGAAATCTTACGCGGTGGGTGAAACACATGAATGCTGTTCTTATCAGAACTTGAGAAATGGTATATTTCTTTTGCTATCCACTGATAGGTTAGCTTAATAAGAGCAAAGTTCTTTCTCATTGGTGGAGTGTAAATGAAGAGTCCCCATCTGGAATGTCTTTGTGATTATGCAATATGAAGGGTAGGGTAACTTGGGGGAATATGGCCATTGGGGTAATATGGCTCTTCACAAGGAATCCCCCTTATAGACTGAATAATTAGTTTGGGCAAATTTTAAAAATAGTTCTGTCGAAAAGTACATGCAATTGTCAAAATGTTTATACCTGTCCATCAATCCAGTTCTGATAGGAATTCAGGATACATCAATGTCTTGAAAGTCATATGCATGCGATTCTTTGACTCATGACCCTGAAACTAATATGAGCCTTGAGCAACATAAGCGTATATTTCCTAATAGCAGCATGGATACAGAAACCATTACTTCTAAGTTCTTCTATGGTCTCTCCAGAATGCTTGTGCAAAGTGCTAGCCCCTTCACTTGCGGTTTGTAGGCAGTGTTGTCAATTTTGTAATGCGAGCCAATATGGTTATGGTCTCTCCAGAACGCTTGTGCAAAGTGCTAGCCCCTTCACTTGCGGTTTGTAGGCAGTGTTGTCAATTTTGTAATGTGAGCCAATATGGGGGAACCGGACAAACCTTTTGATGGTGTCAGCTTCCTTTCGTGTGGGATCTCAGGCTGCAAGAGATCATCCAATGCACTTCCTCTGGATATATGGATAGACGTACTGGACATTGGACGAAATATGCAGTACACGAGGAGGCCATGCATGAGGGTATGCTTATGCACCTCCTTCTGCATTGCTTGACATTCTCCAGAAATTTTTTTGCATGAAACTTGAATGCAAGTAAATATCCCTCATACAAATAGGGCATTCTGTGATTTTTGGCACTATTTATCCATACGTGCAAAAACAATGCAGCATTTTTCCTACAATGTAAGACCTCTTATTTTACACTCATAGCGCATAGTCACTTTAATCTATGCTTGATCACTCCTCTTACACACACAGTCTCTAGATATTGTCTCCCAATCACGTGCATTGTTACTCAAAAGCAAAAGTGTTGCAATCCTGTTTTCCACAATGGTTCCTCAAGTCAGGTAATGATGTCGACTTCTTTGTCTGTCCTTGATGCAGTTAGTGTTTATTTTTTAACTGCTGAGAGTCCTTTATCATGTTTCAAGGTACTCAGCATGTTCCAGCATATTTCATATGTTCCTGGACAACCTGGAGTTGTTTTTTCAGAAGTGGCCATATTCTCCCAACTATAGGGTTAATATGGCCTCTTGAGACCTACTCGAAAAAGACCCAAGGGCGCCATAACCATGGGTTTTTTTTGCATACGCCTTGCTGGCATTTAGCAAAGAAGATATCAATCAATATTTTAGAAACATTGTATTAGGTTGTTGCAAAAGTCCTGTCGGTGTTGAATGTAACATGTTCTAATAAGACTTCCAGGCTTTGACAATTCCTGGTGAGTGGGTGGTAGGTATGGGTATATAAGGACAGTCTGTTNTTGAGAAAATAAAGTTGTCAATACCGACAGGACTTTTGCAACAACCTAATAAAAGTCAAATTCAACCTTGATGGGCCATGATGACCAGGTTTCATTTTGTAGGGCCATATTCCCCCAAATTACCCTATAAGGAATATTTATGGTGAGGAGACATCTGCAATTTATTTCTTTTGCCAAGACTTGTAACCACTGAGTCTTAGGAACATAGAATTGTTTTTCACTGGCACAGTGGAATTCTTTTACTTATGTCAGCAATTGCTGTTTTAATATTAAGGTGCAGCAAGCTCTTTGGGAGTTGTTGCCTGCATTCTACTGATTCCTTTTAAATTATATATCCAGATGTGGAGGAGGAGAAGCTCAACATTCAGCAAGCTCTAGAGCACAAGAAGGACAAGAACCAGAAACTGAATGTGGAACTGTCACGACTACGTCGCCTGATCAAGCCAGACCAAGATGCTGGGGAGAGCATTCTGGCCTCCTTAAAGAAACGAGTTGGAGCCATTGCAGCTGGAGAGATAAGCATAAACCCTCCTCAATCAACCTCAACCTCCATTGGCTCATCATCTGATCCTGGTTCTTTAGAGAATCTTGAAGACAGCATGAGAAGGGTAAGAAAACATATTTTCGCTGAAGGGAAGCGAGTTGATGCTCCACTTTGCATTATATCCTTCCATCAAATACACTTGTTTGGAATCAAGTCACAGTAATGACATTGTACAATTGCTTCTCTCACATTTCCAATTCCTTACTGTTGTGGACAAGGAGTGGCTCCCTTGCAGTACTCTTTTGTCACAATCATAATTGAAATTTGGATTAGGCCCAAGAGGAGCAGCAGGTGTTGCAGAACATTGTGGCTCCCCTGGAGGAAGAAATCCTCGTATTGAAGGACAAGCTGAGGCTGACAGATGAGCAGCTCCAGGCTTATGAGCAGTGTCAGGCTGATGTGGTCAATGGCTCCAAGGAACTTGCCACTCTCGTTCAGGAGAGCAAGAACTTTGAGTCTCTACTTCAGGAGATTTCTTTGCGGGTCAGGACCAAGAATTTATTCTTTCTTATTCACCATTAGATCCATTTCAGCAGAAATATCTTTCTTTTGCTGTTGCTTTATCATGGTAGGCACTAAGGGAGTTTTTTCATTCAATTTTGGTGATTTATTGCTACCAAATATTTATTACCCCTTTAATGGGGGAGTATTTTCCATGTCCTCTGCACATCCTGGGGGGGGGGGGGGGGGTTTGTTCAACTGTCAAAATGTCATATGATGGGTATCCCTGCTAAGGGTTAAAGGATCCAGAGGATCATCTCAATTTATCGCCAGATCATTTTATCATTCCTTTTAAACACTTGAATTGTTCCTGGTATTTTCAGAGTGGCCCATCTGTTCCAACAGAGACATAACTCTTCCAGTTTATCATTCCATGCTTCTATTTCTTCATCTTGATGTAAACCTTTTTTTTTTATACATTATTTCCAGCACTTGCTTTTTATGCATTGGTGTTGAAGTTAATCCTAACTCAAATGAAAAAAGCTGTATTTGATCAGCTTTAGTCAATGAAGCTTATCTGCATTTTTGTGGTCTACAACATTCTCACAAGGTGACAAGCAGTTTTATGTCTATGGGTGAAAGTTAGTATGTTGGTATTTTCTGAACTTTTTCTCTGAGATTTGTGGTATTTTTAATGCATTCATACTTATGTAGGAAGAGTTGTTAGTAGCATTTACATTTTTGCATTTTACTTTTAGGTTGTCAGATGGTATTAAGTTGTCTTTTTTGTCATTTAAAAAATCATTATTTTTAATATGGAGGAACTGATGTAAGACATGCATTGTCTCATCCAATTTCAAGCAAGACTGCAAAAGCCAAATATAGAAATTTTCTTGTTGTGCTATTAGTGTTCCTTGAGCCATTACAGTGTTTTTTAGTGGTATTCTAAGTTTCAGAATGGATGTCAATAGTAGATGATCCTCATTTAAGTAGACCTTTGACTTCCATTTGTCATGATACAGGAAGCTGATCATTCAGTAGGTTGCTGAATGCTTGTGCTGTACAATAATGGTTCCCTGTCTGTCATCATTCCTTGCCTCACAAGTGCCCCAATATCATTGATTCAAGTCAAAAGTAGACTTCAGCTTCGGTATTTTAAGTTAACACTACTTCTATTGATCATTATTCACATCAAAAAATATGTTGGAATAATTCAGCAACTGATCTTCATGCACATCATTAATCAACTGGAAAGTTTCTATTGCTGATGTCATGCACAGTATGGACTATTTAAAATTTTTTAAATCTATTTTTTTCAAATTCTTTTCATAAAAAAAATCTTTTTAAAAATCAACCCATTGAAAAATCCTAACCACTTTCTTACTTGTGTTTGGACAATAGCTGGAAGAGCTTTTGAAGCGAAAAGACCTACAGTCCACTCCTCTGGCACTATATTTTGGAGTTCTCAACTTCCAGAAGACAATGTACCTCAGCGAAATTCGACGACTTAGGTACAGACTGATGAGCTTCTTCAGAAGACATGTTCTTTTAACCTTGCTTTTATGTACTGAAAATATTTGTTACGGAAGTGGCCTGATTGACATATGACAGGAAGCAGGTGAAGGATGCATATCGAGGATTCAGCACTGATTCTCAACTCCTGACCAAGCTCCAACTCATGCATTCTCTCCTCACAAAGGAACAACTGGTGCAATTTGAAGGTTAGATAGAAAGCTAACTACATCTTAGAGCTTGCATTTTCTTTATAACACCCTCAACTGAACCCACTCTTGCTATCATAGGAATGCATAATTTTAGTTGTAATGAAAATTGCTTTACTATGTGACTGAAAACTGAATGATGCTGAGGCTGCATGAGTGACTCACCTACCTGGGTAACCATGGCTTATGACAGTTTCTTTCTCATCACTTGAGTTCCCCCTTGCATATATCATCAAATGCTAGGAAGTAGGTAATGGTTTCTTCAGCTCTTGTTTTCATTCCATAATATTCATTTCATCCATATCTTTCAGAATTGACTAAAGGAGGATATTCTGGAGAGTACCTGAGGCTAGGTGGTTGTGAAGACACTTCTCCTTCAAGGTCTTTGGATGAGGATGCTTATAAAGTCAGTGTTGTCACCCTTGTCATCTCACCATTGATGGTGCAAGTCTGTTATTGCTCAAAAATCATTTGTGTTGCAGATGAGAGAGGAAGTTCAGCATGGGATCAGGGATGAGAGTGCCAGTTTGAGACTGTCTTCTCTGGACACATCTGGCCCACAAGGTAATTCCATCCTCTCCTCATCCCATTTCTGGATTAAGTGTTTTTTCAAAGTGCAATCAATTTCAGTAAGCTGTGCACAACTCCTTCATCTTTCCCAGAGCAACATGGTATAATGGTGATTACTTTAATAGCTATATTTTTTGTGCAGCTCTGTGAAATCTCAGATTTTCATCTGATATAATTATTTCTTACAGACATTAGTAAGTATGAAGTATAATTGGTTGAATTTACATATGAAAAAAGGCTAGTTTATTTAAAGGGAAAGAAACTTCAGAGGAAATTGTGCCAGCTGTGGCACCTTTTGACAGGTTCCTGTCACACATAAGTAATATGTTAATGATATTTGATACAAAGCTGAAATTTCATGCAGGTGTAGAAAATACATAGTTATTAAAAGGAATCATAGGATTACTGTGAAGCCCTGGAAAGATGTGCTGCAGTGGTCACTAATTCTTGAGTGCACCTTGTGCTTTCATTTGCTCTACCATGATGTGGAGACTAATGTTAGAGGGCAGTACATTACTGTAAGATTATTTTGAATGCATAAGCTATTTCAGTTCAGCAATGAATTTACATTGGCCTGTTATCCACTATTATACCAAAATCAGGAAAATAAAAATAGTTTGCTTGCTACACTGCTACTGATGTATGACTTGAAAAGACGTATAATATAATTGAATTATTATCAGAAGGAAAATGTAAATGTATTAGTTTAAATGAGTATAGGCTACTATTTTTAACTATGATTATACTGAGTGGGACAAAAAGCACCATTCTTTATGGTGCTATGGTTTCAGACAGTGTCTGTTAGCACTGTATGTTTATATATTGTTTAAGCATCCTAGAAGTTATCTTATCATTTATCTATAGCTGTTTTACCACATAGGTGATTTTACAAAAGCAAAAAATTTTTTTTTCACTCACTCCTGGACACTGACCAAGGACCTACAAAACTGAATAGAATCACATTTCTTCACAAGGGCCTTTTTTCTCTGCCCTTCAGAATACATTGAACAGACCTCCAACTTGCCCTAATGCTTGGCAATTTGCTGATTGGATTTCTGCATCCCTTGATCATCATCTTGAGAAATGATGACCCCTTCCACATAAAAGTGGTTTGCTTGAGTTTAAGCTTATTTCAGTCTTCTGCTCCCTCTCTTCCTCGCAGATGAACCAGTTTATTGCACTTAGTGAATCGACCTCTTGATAATGGGCCCATCTTTCATTCCTTACTAGGAAATGTTTGCAAAGTTCTTCCCCCACTACATCCTTCACAAAGAGCAGCATTTTCATGGGCTGGTGGAGGAGCTCTTGTCCAAGATTGGTGCACTTGACATCAAACTATACTCCCAGTGATACATTACCTTGCCAAAAAGTTTAATTTGAGTTGCCTCAAGGGCAGTGCATTTTTTTCACCTCACCCTGTCAGGTAAAACCATCTAAGTTTGGACAGTACCTAAGTTCTTACACCATAAAATAAATGTTTATTAAAAAAAATATTTGCAAGGTCACCTTTACAAACAGCTCTTTCTAGCTGGAAAGAACTGTTTCAGAGGGATAGCTCAACAATGCATGGTTTTTTAATGATGTTTGTGATAGTGTCTGAACTTGGATGGTTTTACCCTATATCTTTGTTAAACCAAGTGGTTTGCCTGGGGGGAGGGGGGGGGGGGTGACATTAGGCCTATGTTTTGATCAGTTTTCAGCTCAATGTCTAAGGTTGGGGGAGAATGAGTTAATATTAGTATTTATGTCTGTGTTTCAAGATTTGAATTAAGGAAATTTGTTAGGGGACTGTTTTCTTAGACTTCATACATTATGTAATTTACTACTATTGACAAGATTACCTAACATTTTCCTTCATTTAAGATGAAACCCCCTTCATTATATGGAATAAATTGATATGGTCTAGTAGACAAAAAGTAATTCAAATTGAGTCATGGGAAAAAGTTCATGTATGAAAAGAGAACAAATAAACTAAACATGAATAAATAAATATCTCAATCTAAATAGAATGCCTAATTTAGGCAAAACATATTACTTTTTATGTTTGCAGTTTCTTATGTTGACTTTTATGAGGTGCATTCAAAAAGTTCTAATTAGGGCTGCACCACTATATCAGTTGTTACTAATGTAGTGGTAGATGTAGTATCAACCACTGATACAGCACCATTGATATCCTTGATCATAGGCAGTTTTGGGCACATTAATTGTGAAAAGTAACTAGTTACAATTACAAGTATTTCATCCAAAAAATAACTAGTTACCAATAGAATTACTTCTTACCAAAAGTAACTAGTTACAAGAATAATTTTTTTTTTCCTGAACAAAAATTCTGGTCTTTCTACAGCTTCCCCACTTCTTTGACAGAAGCTGGATGCATGGACTGAAAGTGAAAGTTACCCCTGATTTCATGAAAATTGAATTATGATCATCACTATTGGATAAATACTCATGCTCACTCTTTTCCCTGTGCCTCTTCCCTTCCCATGGGCTACTTAACAGGAATTATATGCTGATAGACAAAATGCATCCTTTAGTTTTAAAAAATGCCAATTTTGCCATTGGAGTTGGGGAGACCTACCCCAGCCTGCCCCCTATCATGAGTTACAGGTAGAAAAAAATAGAAAAAACTAAAGTCATCTTCTCTTGTTTCCCCTTAACCAGACATAGACTGCATAAATCCAGTTTACCTTGTATGCAGTGATTGAAAAAGATTTTTCACTAACTTTTTACAATGTAATGGTATTTTTATGGCGTATTCATGGAGATAAGGGCATTTCGACCATGAAATATGGGGAATTGTGTCTGAGATGTTCATGTTAAAAGTGGTATATATTCACTTGCAAATCACTGTTAAGTTAGGCTCTACACTTGTGTGCAAGTGCTAGGCCAGAGTTTTAACAGTCTAACTAATGATGATTGTTTGGAAAATGATAAAACAGGGCACTTGAAATATGAAGAGGCAGCCAGGGTATACCTGCCCATGGAGCCTAAAGGGGATCAGACAAAATTGAGGAGAGAGGTGCCAACGATTGGCATACGAAAGGTTTCTGTGCACATGCACTATCAGAACTAAAGCAATGGCTATCATTCAGATCTAACATTAGTACAAAGGTTGTCTGCATGGAGTCAGGGCACAATGGAACTCATCTAGACATGGTTTCTCAATTAGATGTTGAAGTTTGTGTGATGGAAAGTACCTTGGCCATCAGTAAACTTAGAGCACTTCGCACTAAAGTTTGCATTGATGCAGCGGCGTATTTTGGCTGAAGGGTCAGGGGGGAGCAGGGCAGCAGAGCCAAACCCCACCTGAGAGATATCAGGAGAAAAAAGTTTTACCTCTAATCTGGGGCTAGGCTCTGCCCCAGAGGCGCCAGGAGGAGCAGCTGCCCTCCGTAAAATACGCCACTGCATTGATGGAACCCTCGAATTCATTCCTGACCTCCTGCACTTCAAAATATTTTTGCAGGTATGGCCAAGAAACCTGCACTGAATAAACCATGTTTTCTCAAAACAATTTCTTTTCCCTGTCTTTCCTCCCAATATTGTACCAATTAGGATGCATGTGACCATGCATGTGGCTGGTGGTTTTCAGCAAAATTAGTTAATCATCAAGAAAAGGAACACGTTACAGTAATGCCACATACTTTTCCCAAGAAAAAAGGAATAAGTTACCAGTTCTGTTACCCTCCTGAAAAGTAACTCATTACCAAAGAAGTTACTGAAAAAAGTAGTTACTGTAATAGGTTTTACTTATACTTCATTACCACCCAACACTGACTATAGGTAGGTTTGCAAACTGCTGATGCCAAAAAAACATGCCAAATGAATGAGAAGGAAATAAAAGCAATGAATGTGGCATGGTAAATGATTCTCAATAGCATAGCACTAGGGCTGTGTCATAATGGATCAGTATCACTATTAATAGTTTGAAGCACTGATGGTTCTCTTTCCCATTTCAATGGTCAGCCTTCCCCCCTGCCTTCCCATCCAATCATGGACAAGAAATGACGAAAGACAAAAAGAGGAGATTGAGACAAGAAACGACAGGCATCAAATGTCCACCCAATCAAACTGTGACGTGACTGAAACCCCCCCCCCCCCAACTGTGATGCACTGATGCACCATCAATAGTTAAGGTTGAGACATCTGTGCATTTTCAAAACAGACATCCTTAAACCTGACCATCCTAAAAAAAAAAAAAAAAATTGTTATTGTTAACAAGCAGGAGGCTTATTTGAATGGGTATCTGATATGGATTTCAGCTCTTCATCTACATGTCACAATTGGCATTGACCCTTTTACCAGATGTGGCCCCAGTTCTTATCATAAATTTTCTCATGTGTCTACCTTGGTAGTGAGAAACACTACGCCATGTTTTTGCTTGATGCATCTGACCCACAAGGAATAATCAGGGGGACTGAGATCAGGAGATCCATTCCACATCTCCAAATCCAAAATCAGTTTCTCTGGGAAATGCTGCTGTAAAAATGTCATGTCTCAGTCCCCTTGATTATTTCTTGTGGGGCTATTTGAAAGAATGAGTGTGTATGAACAAACCACACATGATGAACATAGGAAATTGATATTCAGGCCTGTCCTGGTAGCATTCTCAGTAAGGCTGTGAATAACTTGAGTGGCAGCATGAGAATGCATTGCCTGTGGTGGTGGTCATTTGACTGACATTATTTTCAAAACCTAGTGTATCCATTAAAAACTCCCAAGTTTGCAGTTTACAAATGTATTTGAAATATGTAAATTTGTTAATCCATTATAGAAATATTTAATTTTGAAATGTGTTCCATCCATTTTTTCCTGTAAAACTACCAATGCCAAATTAATCATTAGTTCATATCTTGGAATTGTCACCATACATTTACTTCTTCATTTTCATGCCCTTTGATTTTTCATTCAAGGCTCTGTGGACACAGATGAAGGTCACTCAGATGAGCCAAGCAGTGAACGTGATAGTAGCCTTTTCAATCATCAAGATTCTGGTTTGCCTTTCTGTAATCAGAATTATTTTATTTTGCTGAAATTTCAATAACCAGACATTCTTAAATTCTCTATTCCTGTTTAGGCAATACCCAAATTACAGAGGAATCAGAGTGCCAGCAGTTACAAGATGAGGCCTCACTGAGAACACAGAACCTCATCCTACCATCATTCACAGCCATAGAACTGGAACAGCAGCTCTGTGCTTCCCGCAAGGAAGCGGCAGATGCACACAAGCAAATATCCTTACTTGAGCAGAAGCTCTCTCGCTACAAGGAGGACCTTGATCGAGAAGCACATTACCGGCGAGAGGATGAGGACAAATGGTCTGAGCTGTCAAAGAATTACGAAGCACAGCTGAGCCAACTGCAGAAGAGGCTCGAAGAACGAGAACGCATCTTTGAAGACCTGCGGGGACTCTGTGAGCAGACCAAAACCATGGCTCTGGAACGCTTCAAGCAGCTTACCTTGAACCGACAAGAGGTTCAGGATGAGATCAATAGGTAGGCAAAATAATCCACCTATGCTTTAATGCAGCAATACTGGTCTTTCTTTTGAGCTTGGGCTCTGCATTCATGCATACCATGGAAATCTTTTTTTCTGTCTTTAACCCTTTGCCATCTTGCTATGTTCCCCACCCCATTCTTTCCTTTCTCTTCTTACATATGGGTCCACATCACTCACCTATGCTTTTCTTGACTTCATCAATCAGTCCTCTGCAGTCAGCAAAAATAATTGCTGTATCGTAGAATTGAGTATCAACATTATCAGAGTCAATTCTATATAATGATTATTGGAGATTGAAAGCAATTTATTTATAAGAAACATCAAATTAGTAGTATATAACAAATTATGAAATCATACCGGTCCAACTTGAAGAAAAATATCTCCTTATTCTCATCAAAATATTATTCTTATTGGTGGGCCTTCTAACCTATCTGTACTTACTAATCGAGGTGTGAGAAGTTTGTGAATTTAAGTCTAGGTAGCAGGCCTGCCACCAATGAAAATTTATGTTGCTAAAAACCTTCATTTCATTCTGTCATCAAGCACATTAAAAAGAAATGGTCCTCTGAAGAAACTATCTACAAGTAGTTTTTGCTTCATTTTGGTTTTATACTTGCTGCTGCTTTAGAATCTTGCCTGCACTCATCAGTCTGTCCAAGTGACCCTGAACTTAAGAGGAACCCTTCAGCATTCTCCCCTTCCCCCCCAACCTATCCATATATATCTTAACTTCTACTGAAACCTGGTCTTTCAGGCTCACACCGGTGTAGTCCTGCCTTGTCATGAGGCCAAATTGTGATCTTCCCTATTTGGAAATTGGAGTTGAGATAAAGTGAGAAAAAAAATTTGTGGATGAAGATACAGGGATAACAATATTTTCCATTCCTGCCTCATCACCCTGAATATGCATATTCTCTTTTGAATAAATTTTTCTCCCTTGGATACTCTGGTGTGTTTTCTTTTTTGATGGAAAAAAGGTTTCCATGGTATGGTATTTGTATCCACTAGTCTGCCTATTATACCTTCATTTTACTTTCATTGAATCTACAATGATTCATTTCTTGGCAAGATGTGTGAAGGTCCATTTCAAGTTACCAGAGCTATTTGATGTGTAAGCCTCATTTTTCACTATTATACTGGCATCCATATGGTGAAATTGTTAAACAGTAGCTGAATCTGTGTTTCAAGCTGCACTGTAAGTAGTAAGGAAGACAAACAGCACTGAAGAAATTCCACCACCTTACCCACTAATGTAATAAGGCAAACCCTGACAATTTTTGGAGGAAGAGGAGATCACTTGTCACGGAGTGTTGAGAGGAATGTGGCACGAGAATTTATTAATGTATGAGTTTGATTTAAAAGAAAAACTCAAGCAGAAATTGAGTTGATGATTGAATGCAAGGAAGTTAAAAATGCATGAAAAGGGAATCTATCTGGAATGTTTGCACTTGAGATTGGAAGCAGAGAATGAGATGCTGATGGGGAAATACAAAGTGCACACCCAGGCATTGCATCGGGACCTGCCTTCTGTGCCAAACACACTTGAGGTGGGCCCCTCCTCAAACCTCAGTCAATAATTAGTCCATATCCATTGAAGCATCTGATGGACATTTTCCCATTTGGTCATGCAAATAGGAGATGCAGCAGGTGCTGCATCATCTGCGTGAAGAACTCATTAGGAACCGTGTGGCCAAGGAGCATCTAGAGGAGAGCCTTCGCTCCGAGATCCTCTTCCTCAAAGATCAGATTAGTGCTGAGCAGAGTGAAAAGGAAAGCCTTGAGATCTCCTACAACACCGAGATCTCAGAACTCAAGTATGTTCTCTTTTCTCAAGTTTGTGTGTTTGTGTTCATGTTTGAATGATGCTGTCTAAGTAGTTAATTGATTTTGCAACCTCATGAATGTGATCGTTTGGATTATTGATTCAAAGAATTTGTAATGAGCATAATTATAGTATGTATTTATGAATGCAATTAAAGTTTGTCCTAACTCATAGAGAAGTAGTTGCAATTAATTTTTTTCCTGTTTTTTTCCTGATTGAAATGGATGATAGGCATGAAGGGAAGACCTAGAATCCAAAATTTTATTGATAGAAAATAAGAATTAAGTTGAATTGTGTCCTGAAAAGCAACAAAATAAGATGAAGGTAAGAACCATTTCCAGACCATGCATACTTAGTGATGGCATCCATCAGGATGTTATGTTTATTCATACCTCACTTTTCCCTCATGCTCTTCGCATCAAAAACACAATCAAGAGAAGGCACTCATCTACATTCAATTGATGTTGAAACCTTGACCATAGAGTAGGCATAGCATTTTGGTAGTATGTCAGCCATCCAAACTCATTCAAGAGAATGCTTGCTGCAAAATCGAAGGCTTACTCAGGCAGACTGAAGAGAACTGTGTCCTCGAGTCAAGGGAAAGGCTTTTCTCAAGTCATCACTATCATGATTATGCTTTAGCATAATAATATGTTCTGACTTTTTTATTGGCATGTTGCATTAATTCTCTACTTTCTCAGGGTCAGTTATTTTTCTGAATTTCTTGGTGATCATCCTTTAACTGAAGTGCAATCGTGCATGAAGATATAGTTGACAATTACCATATAATATATTTCTAGGAATAATTTACCTGCTCTGACATTTTCAATCCCCAGGTTATGGAATCTGCAAGTGAAGATATTGAAAAGAATAATGGCACAGATAGCATCTGGATTTCTTTTCAGATTATACAGGGTGGACCAAAAAAAAAAAAGCTGTAATTTTTGGTGAGTCGTCAATCTCATTGTAGGCTGCCGATTCTAATTAAATTTGGTAAGCCTATAGGGTGACTCAATTGGAGTTTTTATCCCGAATTTCAGCCTTCTGGCTCTAAAATTATAGAAGCTGTAATTATTTTCTGCTGACCCACGACAAAAAGTTCTGTCGAAAATATCGATGTGAAATTAAGGCCAGGATGAATGGGAGGACGGAATTAATGACCTTCCATCCCTGCATGATGCTATAGAGGAAGATTGGGAAGCTCTGCCTCAAAGATTTATTGACTGAGCCATTGATCTGTGGCGTACCAGACACGAGGCTTGTGTTCAACAGAATGGAGCACATTGAGCACCTTTTTGGTTGAAATGAACCTACCTAAACTAAATTGTGTGCTTTGGTTTTTGACATTCGTGCATTTTATTTTTGTTCTCTTTGTTTGTTTGTTTCGTCATTTGTAAGAAATTGTAAGTTTAAATAAAAAATGAAAACTTAATTTTTTTGGCGATGAAAAGTAAATTAAATGCCATTCTCAGTTTTTGTAATTTTTACTTGAAACTCGGCAAACAAACCCCAATTGAGTCACCCTAAGTTCCTACCAAATTTAATCAGAATCGGCAGCCTACAATCAGATTGACAACTCACCAAAAATGATAGCTTTAGTTATTTTTTGTCCCACCCTGTATATTCCATGAGTTTGTAACTTGGTCCAAACTGAAATCATTGGTGTTACATGAGCCAAAAGTAAAGTCAGAGAAAGGATCATGTATCAGAGAGTACATGTCACTGTATGCTTTTTTGAATACCCATGATTTGTAATCGCAGTTGATTCCTGAGCACATAGGGTAAGTGCTGCGAATGTCGGCACTGGGGGTAATCTCGGCACTTTGCAATCGTCAAAATTCTGCTTCCACTACTAGTCCCCTAGGCACGGGTAGATAAGTATTCTCAGATGGTAGGACTAATGTTAACATGTGCTTAGAACAGCCATATTTGATGTTGTAGTTTTCTCACAGTGGCTACTTTCAGTAAGCGTACTCCGAAAATCCTGCGAAATCTTGTGGTTTTGGTAAGCTTTTGCACATTCCGTTCTTCTCTTTCGCACTAGGTAGGGTTTCATCAGGTCGTTGCATTCATATTTGAGTACGTTGGAAACGACATTGACACATAAGAGTGCCGACGTTCCCGACAGGGTGATACCGTCTATACCAGCAAGTGTGCCGAGATTGCCAACATCTGACTCAACTTCACCTTTGACCCAGGCCGTCGGAAAGGAAAGGCCTGGGATACTCGAGATTTGCGGTACAAGACGGTTTATAATAAAGGTATCACCAGATCCAACATGAACGAGGAAGTTCCATTACGAAAACCGGCAAGTAAGGTGGAAGTGCAGAATTTGCTTAGAGTGCCGACATTCGCAGCACTCACCATATGAGGCTTGTTTTTGTGCTTTTCAGGGCATGATTCCATGTGATTCTGGCCTTGTTTTGTACCACAAGGTCTTGGTAGGGTTTTCTGAAAATATTGATTGATGGGTTAGGTGGACTCCTTGCCCATCAAAGCAGGCAGAGTGGCAAAGGAGGATTGGGGTTTATATCGGGAATTTAGTGTGTTGGGAGAGTCACTCCCTATTTTAAAATTGTAATAACTTTCGTAATTTTTGGACTAGAACAATGGTTTTTATGCTAAAAGAAACAGAATTCGGTGGGGTTTTATGATTTCTTTTGTATACTCACTCAAAAAAAAGCCTAGTGACAGTGCATTGTCCTAGTGCGACCAGCAGTACCTCTCAGAGGAAACTGGAACGTATCACTGAACATGACTGTTCTCTAACGCATTTGAGAGCATACCCTGTGCCTGTGACACCACTCCAAACAAAGTCGCCTGTTCTGATCTTGCAGTTCAAACCCACAAAATGGTTGTCGTGATCTCAAATCTGCTGCCCGTAAGTGGTTTGCAGACGATTTGAGCCGACGTTTTCTGCCCTCCGGGCACTGTTGATACTGTACCGCTAGTTTGCTGTTGCAAACTGATCTCGCAGATGTCTGAGTCGAATGTACTGATCTTGCGCAGGGGTGGTGTTTCGTGATCTGCCAAAGCGTGGACCGTCACGCGTTGAACCATGTTGCTGGAACCAGTCCCATAATCTTGAGACGATACTCTATTGCTCGTTAAAATGTCTTGCACTGATGACTGGGATTCAACAGTTTCCAATCTCCCAATAGATCTCCCAATCTTCCAATTGCAATCCGCTTCTGAGAGTCTTGGCATCCTCGACGGCTTTGCTGCATTACAAAACTGCCTACCCATTGACGAGAACCTAGCCCTTTTATTGAAAACAGCATCACGCGACATTGCACCGGGTTTCATTGAATAATGGTATCCACGTGCATTGTACTGGGTTACGTGAAACTTCAATTCTTGCGCAAGCGGTTATAGATCATGCATATTCAAGAGCAAAATGGTGCCAAACACTTGAGTTCACTCCACCCTACTTGAATTAATAGCTACATGTCGTTACGTCATTGAACTGTACTTAAAATATAATCATATTTCAGCTATGCGTTTCTTTTTTTAGTTGGTTTATGTTTTTTTGCAATAACCCTCCATGGTGCCAAAACTGAATCTTCAACACCGTGCACAAAAAACTGCATGGTATGAGATGTCGAAGCGGAGGAGTGGGAAGTTGTATCCAAGGCATTCTCCTTCCGTCACAACCTCTGGAACATGACAGGACCTCCACACCATGCCATCCACTCCACTCCATACCATGGTGATGGTAGAAGGAGAATACCTTGGATGCAGCTTCACACTTCTCTGCAAACAAAACAAAAACCCACAAGACCCCATCGAATTCTATTTCGTTTGGCACAAAGGTATTGTTCTTGTCCAAAAATTACAATCGTTATTGCAATTTTAAAATAGGGCGTTACTTCCAAACACCCTGTGTATGACGGGCAGAGACGTATAATTGACAAGATGATAATTGATTATCCCTTGATGTTACTAAATTATAAGTGCCTTATACTATGGAAAATTGGATGATCAAGGGATAGTGTGATTTTGTGACTCATAGTTAAGATATTCCAAATATTAAGCAGGTGGTTTAAGCGACTGAATAATAGGCCTATAGCATATGCCTGGATTTATGGATTGATATGATTTTATCAATTGATGATGCAGAGAGCAGGTGGGTATTATGCAGACGATCCAGGCGCAACTGGAGAAGGAGGAGTCTCTGAGGGTTGAGTTTGAAGAAAAGCACTCTGGTTGCAAGAAGGAGTTGGATGAAATCCGAGCCAGGAGCCTTGTCCTTGAGGCCAGTGTCAAGGACCTTTCTTCACTAAAAGTCAGTTTCACAATTACCTTGTCAGATGTTCAGAATTTAGTATTCTGAACCTGAGTTATACATTCTAGACTGAAAAGCTAATCTGCCTAGATTTGCACAGGTCATAGGAATTTCCCAGCAGATCTCATGAAGAAATTAAACCTAATGTTGTCACATTGTATTCTTGATGATTTTTTTTTAATTTTCTCTGGTGCGATTTCTATTTTTTCACGGTCATCGACAGATTCTGATATGTCTGCTGTGTTGACTCAGCCAGTTGTTTGCAGTTGTATTTTTCTGGACTTATTCCTGCACTTCTGGCGATGACATCATGCAGGAGTTTCCTTGGCGTGAATGAAACTTTCATCTTTCAGAAATCTCTGTCTTCGTTTGTGTGAAGGGAACGCCTGAATGATCCAAGGTTTTGGAAGTGCCATGATCTCGGACATGTATCACGTGATCGTTCGATGCAGGAGCAGTTGGAGAAAGAGGTGACCCATCTGTGGAGCCGGGTGTCGACGCTGCAGCAGGAGGTGGAGAACTCCGAGGCGAACCAGCGCGACTTCGTGAGGCTGACTCAAAGCCTCCAAGTGGAGCTCGAGGGGATACGTCAGGGAGAAAACGAAGTGAGGTGGCAGCACGAGGAGGACGTGAACCATTGCCCTCGCTGCTCTCGTCCCTTCACTGCTATTCTCCGCAAGGTCTTTTATTCACTCATTCTATCCTCTCGTTTTTGAACCTGAGCTATATTAAAATTTGTGAGAGCACGAATCAGTGTAATGTACGAGGAGTGTGTAAGACGAGAGGAGAGAAGGTACGTCCATAAGCTAGGGTGAGAGAAGCTCGTCTCGAAGCGCACCTATTCTCGTCCGCGCAACAGAATTTTCTCCCATTGCAAAGGTCAACCATTTATGTCGATAAAAAAAAAGCGACTGCAAGTCTCAGTGCGACGCCATCCTCATTTGCAATCGTCTCTCACCTGCTTTGTTCGGCAATCTGGCTATACCAGAAAGCAGTATTTGTTTCGAACAAGTTCGGGACCGATTGTAAAGTGAAGTGAATCGGAGATGGTGAGAAAGTGGCACCGGGGCCAGATGGAGCCAAATGAGGCCCAGAGAAAACTTAAAATTTTCGTCCTATTGCATAAAGGCTGTGGATGTTCAAAGTGGCACACGACGGAAAATAATGAAAAACTCTTCTTGCGAGTGACACCATGTATTGTGACGAACGAGACGTTCACGGCCGTTACTTTTTCATTCTTCTCTGTCGAGTCACAATGCTATTATTACGTCAGGGAGACCCCTGGATATTAAGATGATTCAAAGCGATCCAATGTAGCCCAGGAAAGCCTCAAGAGAGAGCCAGACAGAGTGCATTTGTTTATTCGAAAAGAAACCGAATTAGTGCCACGAGTGCCGTGGAGAACCTAAGAGCACACCGTCGCGAGATCTCGGAAAGAAATGGCATGTCCTGGCCGAGACGTCTAGTTTGAAAAAATGCAGCTTTTGATGACGCCTGCTCATTGCTTATGTACGCTCAGCTGAGAATTCTTACTGCCCTGTGACTCTCTCCCCTGATTTAGAGGGGACTCGACTGATATATGGTGCCATCATGCCAGGAGGGTGCATATTAGTTACATTCTTGTTCCACATTCCACACAAATGTGTTGTGTCGTGTTCTCGCTCGTCAAACGAGCATGGACTCGACTACGAATGCGGACGTAGCCCAGATGCTGTATCGTGTGAACTACACGTGGAGGAAATGTATTTTTTCTTATAAATTTGTCTTTATGGAATGATGGCAGTTTGTGCTTCTCAGTTAGGGATGTTACCGATAATTTATGGGGTCGATAAAAAAAATTATTGTCTTTATCGGTTTTATCGAAAAACCGATACCCTAGGTTCCCTTTTTAAATGTCAGTTTTTAGTCTGAAAATCACATTTGACGTGGCGACTTGGCATCTCGATACTTGAACTAACGAAAATAGACGGTTGACCCAGGAGATGCTCTGGAAGAAAAAGCCCTTCGGTTATCAAACGTTTTTTGCATTCTCCGACGATGGTGCGGTTGGCCCGATGGCGAGCGGAAGGAGGCGTGGATACCTACAGTAAGGGAAAACCACGGGAGAGACACTTTTGCGATGGCACCTTCCGCTCGCCGAGCACGGACGAGTTCGATGCGAGATATTCTACGCGGGAAATTTCTCGACGATCCGACTCGAATGCCAAATTAGGTGGAACAAACGCTCCACCTAATTTGGCATTCGAGTCGGATCCACACGCTGGAATACTCCATCTCCGTCTCCTCGGGTCGACCCCTCCCGAGGCCCACATACATTTCGATCTCCTTTCCGCCGCCGTTTCTATGCTTACTGCTCGCCTCCTTTTTCCTATCCCTTTAGAGTCGATCGATGAACACCGACGAACACTCCCTTCGCTGCCGACCGAACGTCTCCTTTCCTCGGGCGATCCCCAATCTCGTATCGGTGTCGTTCGTGCGCGTGCATTTTCCTTGCTCCTAGATGTTCGGGCCCGAATGCCGAAACCTCATTTAAGCGCGATGAAAGGGCCCGTAAACGAAAGAGCTCTCTTCCCCATAGGAATCCGCGGTTTCTTAAAAGGACCGTTAAATAAGAGAGGCTTCAGCGTTTGGACCTCATTCTTTTGTCTCTATATGGCCTGGGGGTGTGGATCAACTGTAGCTCTTCCCTACAGATACATTTAGAGGATTCTAGTTTAGGCTCGAGAGGAAATGCTATGGAAACTTTTAGCCAGAGATGGTCTCTCCGCACTCTTCCGCTTTGTGCACGATCTAACTTACAGTTAAGAAAAAAAAATAAAATAGATATCGAAGCTCACCTTCCATTTCCCTTCCATTTACGCAAATTATGTAGATTAAACCTTAGAGGAGTATGTGCGTAAATATCAATATATGTTTTCGATATTTTTACGAAATTTCAGTTTCAGGTTTTGTGTAAATTATCGTTTTTGAGTTCGCAGCATTTTTCGTCCATCACGCGCTACAATTGACCGTTATCTACTGTACCACACTATCATGAAAAACGATCAAGAGATATTTCGTATAGGGAACTCAATGAAATATTATTTCAAAACATCCCAGGAGCGCGAAGATGACTCACTCGTCAAAGGGTTAAGTATACCTGTACCACGTACAATAGTCCCGATCAGTATGCCTTCCAGTTCCCTGGGATAATAACTCTGGATTCCGTGAGACATTCATCGTAATCGTCTGTTGATCTGCATCGGTTATATTGGACCCCTCTCGAGATCGATATCGGTTTATTTGATATCGGTAAAAATTCCTCATCGGTGACTTCCCTAATCTCGATGTATTTTAGCTCGATGGTAACAGAATGTAATTGTAGGGAGTGGAAATGAACAATGCGCTTGCTGCGTTGGGGTTAACGGAGCAGCATGGCTCTCAAAAGAAACAGGGTATTCAGGCGGTCTCACCTATCGTGGTTACGTAAATGGATCTCCTCTTTCTCTTGCGTAGTGGGCCTCACTTTATCGAGTCCGATAGGATGTGCTCTTTATTTTGGAAGATAGTTCCTTCGGTTCACGAGTCGTATCATTGAATACGCCATACCCACTAAGTAGCTCGAGACACGAAACTTTTATCAGTGATCGTGTCCGCCTTCTGTTCGAGGCCCCGCTTGGAGAATACGATTTGAGCCATAAAAAGTCGATCACGGGGACAGGTACGCGAGTCGACTGCACTTCGAGACTTCGTAGACGGGGAGGAAATTTTTTCCTTCTGGTCTTCTGGTATGTCGGGTGCGTCTCCGGGCGGTCTGCTTGGAGAAGATGGCATTGGGTGTTTCGCAAAAATATTTACCATTTTAAGTTCACGCAACTTCTTTCTTATGAGTATTCACTTCAAAGACAAAATCACAAAGAAACTCAAAGTTTCGTCCTAGTAGAAAACACGTTCGAAATAGCGCCTCCAGTCGTAGAACGGGGCCGGAAACACAAACATGACATTCATTGGAAAAGTCAAATTTGAATTAGTCCACATCACCGCTGTCTATAAGTTGACTTATCTCGTTACAAATTCTTTCACGATTTCGCTTGTCTCCATCACTTGACATTTGATTCAACTGAACAGTGTATCCTCAGATCATCCGTCAGTATTCGCTACACTGTTGTGGTAGAGAAATCTCGCTCTGCAAGAAAGGCGACGAACCGATTTCTTTTGACTCTGCAGTATTGCGTCCCAGACTTCTTCAACAGCGACTTGCACTCTGACTGTTCGTTTCCTCCCACAATTTTCACGATTTTGGTTCTTTATTGTGCCAAGTTCATGAAATTTCTGCTCCAGTTTGGTTTCCATGGTGGTGTTTTTCCCCGGAAACGTTATCCGAAGGTCTTCTTGCGTTGTTTCGGGTGATTTGGTTTCTAAGAAACGTTCTACGATGGAAACTCGTTATTCCCTAGTAAACTGGGCGCTCATCATGGTTTATCTATAACACGATGAAAATTTATTAGTTTCTCTTTCACTTAGTTTTTATTTAAAGTGAATGCCTATTATAATAAACGAGTTACTGCACGTCTACTCGGTAAAGAATTTTGTGAAACACCCTCTATTATCCATGTCTCGTGTCCATTCAAGCATAGAGATGGAACTGGATCGATGCAAAGTAGCGAAAGTTACCATTGAAGAAAAACGTGAAAATGTTTGCTGCTTCTCTCGCCATAATAAGCAAGAGGCGATCGAATGGACGAATGTGTCACACCTGACGACAGATTTATTCAATTATACGCAAATTTCGCAAACGTTCCTTTTGCTATTATTATACAACTGGCGGTTTTATGAATAAAGAGTGTGCACCAAATCCGAAGTCGCATGGAAATTTGGAGTTGCGAATGGTGCGATTTCTGCATTTACATCTTCAAATATTCTCGATGAGGGACGAATAGAAATTTGGACGCAGAGATGTAAGAGCTTATGAACTGGGTTATTTTCATATTTAAATGTCACTAAAGTAAATCATAGCATCGTGCACAAACATGAGAAAGTATTGAACTCCACAGAGCCGATTCGTGGAGTCTCCGTGATCCTCCTCGATGTGGATAGGCAGTTGTGAACCGAAAAACATGAATGATGCTTTAACCCTTTGAGCTAGAAGTTCTTTGATAAAATTTCTCAGCTTGCGTGTGAATTCTTACTTTGGGAGTGGATACGATACGCGTCGCCCAGGATTCATATCGTTACTGCACGCTCCTGACAAGTACATACGGTAGTCGTACGGTAACGTTGCGAAGTACGCGAGCCGAAACGTACGAGTCGATCGCGACCGATTCGGAGAAGGCCCCCTCGGGGTGACCGATCCAACTTGCGAGTATTTTTTTGTTGGAACGGAAGCATTGACCGGGGTGCGACCGTCTGTCGTTGCAGCACCATTGCCGGCACTGCGGGAAGATCTACTGCAGCGAGTGCACTTCGCAGACGGTGGGAAGCGGCCCGCACGGACGACCCTCGCGAGTCTGCGACGTCTGCCACACCATCCTCGTCCGGGACTCCGCTCCTTACTTCTCGAGGCACGCCCCGAATCTTCCCGAATGACACGGATCTCATCCATTCTCTCCGTCTACCTGTGATCGGCTGTTTGAATCTATCCGAAAAGTACGAGCATACCGGTAATCTTATATTCCGTGTCGAGTTTTGCACCTGGCTTCTGTCGTGATGCATTCTGGCCAAACCAAAGCATTCACTTTTTTTTTGGGAGACGAATAAATAAATGATTTTATTCCAACCGATTTATGCCCGTATTTCCTTCGTTCGTTCGTGCATTACCACGATTCCATTCGTCCTTTTTACCTTTTTCGTTCTTTCATTTTCTTGCATTCCTGCGATTGCACAGATGTGATCGATGTGATTGCAGTGAAGAAAAAAAAAATAATATTTTGAGGATATAAAAAAGATAATTACCATCGGCACGTTGTCATAGGACATGAATCCTCTTAAAGCTAACCACGGCGAAGGGCAGGGACTACAGGTGCAAGGTCTGTCGGGCGATTCGAATTCTTCATGCTTCATGTATCCATTTTTTTAAAACGAAGTTTGATATTGAAAACTAGGGCTGTACCGATGTATCGGCTATCACCGGCATCGGCCGCCCCGGTGTTATAATATCGACGCCATCGGCCATCGCTGGTGTGCAGGCTGCCGATGCCGATGCCTAAAGGGTAGGGAAAACTTACAAAAAAATTTTCGAGTTAACGTGTGAACCCGAAAATATCGATCGGATTGTATTTCAGCCCTATTCTAGGAACTGGCGGAGGAAAATAGCAGAAAGAAGGGAAATAATTGCGTCTCCTTTTATGCTATGCTTTTGCGGGAGATGCTTCGTTAAACGCTTTTAACTGCAGCAATAGGTGACAAGCTAACCACTGACGGACATAGACAGACGGTACTGAATATGGTCTCTATCGTTTTTAGGGGGTCCGAGTCTCCCTTCGACTTCGCACAAGACAAACCGATTCCCCCACGTTCTACATTCAACATCGAGTTGGAAAAACCCACCGCGACCCACGATATCGATTCCTTTAACCCTGGAAGCGGCAAGGTTAAAACCCGTGCTGGTAGCCATTAATTTTTGTTGTAACTATGGATGAAATGAATAAACGGTTGCTGTGGATGTCTAGAGCATGTCATGCCATCTGTTAGCAGATTAGAAGAACTAAATGAAGAAATTCGAAAAACCGACAGTGCCGCCACAGCGACGGATGAACTGTCGATCAATCAGCAGTTGCCGTTTCTAAGGTTAACTCTCATCTGCATGAACACCTATTTAGCACTGCTGCATAAGGGGAAGGGGGGTGGGGAAGCTTTTTGACTGCTCATACTTCACGTCGTGATGTCTTCTTTTTTTTTATCGACTAGCCACTTCTTAAGGAAATGGCTTACAGCTGCCGATGATGAGGTGGATATGATTATCGTTAAAACGTGGGCGCTTCAAATGGCAAAATGTGCGCAAAAAATGACAGTTTGATAAGTGTGGGTCTTTTTCACCCTTCTTTGTGCAGATGAGGGTTAACGATGGGTGCATGCCTGGATCAAGTCCCATTCCCCTTTCTAAAATTTGAGTGGAGCCTCCCTTGGCCTCCCTCCATCCCGCTCACTCGAGAACTGCAGTTGTTGGTTGGGCCATGCACGGTGACGTTAAGACCGGCGGTACTCGAACCGCGGCCCGCGAAGGCCTCGCATGCAGCACCCGAAACCAAAAAGTATTTTTCGGTAAAGAGAATTTAAAAAAAGACCAATAAGCCTTTTTTCCGTACGGCCCTGATGAGCTCGCATCGGATGCGGCGCCCGGTTCAAAAAGTCACTGCATTAACCCTTTTTATCCCAAGTAAACTTCGTACAAGATCCTTCATTTTCCGAGTTCCGAAACGAATTTGACTTCAGCTCACAGCATGCACGAGAAACATGGAAGCACGTCCACGTCTAGCAAGCAGTTGCTCGTCACCGTCTGCAGCTCACGATACTGTATCGCTCGACGGCACGCTCGTCTCGGACTCGGCTGTCTTACGATAATAAATGCACTCGTCGTACATATAGGACGGGGGGGGGGGGGGGGGGGAAACAGGTTAAGACGGACTGGGACGTGGCCAGGGGGGAGGAGAAGGAACAGGTGCCAGACACGAGGTTTCGATGTCTGACGTGTGATGATACACGGATGAGAACTGCAGGAGCACGTACGCCATGACCGCAGGGTGAATGGCAGGGTTGCCGGATGCAGTTCGCTTCGTCCGATCCCGTTGCACTGCACCGTCTGTGAAACGGCAGGAGAGCGACCGCGTACGCGTGGCAAAACGAAGACGAGGACGAGGACCGTTTCGCGAGTCGCTCGGATCGTAGCGACTTCGAGGATCTGCACGACGAATCCGACCTCGGACCTCGCCTGTCGCCCCCGTCCGATCGGTCCGTTCGAAAACGGACGAACGGAAGTGGATTTGGACTCCGCGAGGCGTTTCGCGTCTCGCGACGAATGGAACTCCCTCCGCTCCCGTTCCCACGAGTTTCTCGATTCCACCGGATCGCAGAGTCGCATCGGGACGTCCGTGCGACGTCGGGGGCGTTTCGACGGCTCGTGCCGCTCGGGATCGCGGTGCGATCGTCGGCCGAGAACGAGCCGTCGCGCCTCGAGATTCTACACCTCGTTGCAGATCTCGTGGAAGCTAAAGCCGCGAGCGTCGTCGCCGAATGCCCCGTTGCCCGACGGGGGCATGCGAACGGAGCGGGAAGCCTTTTTCGTCTTTCCGCGTACGGTCCGCTTCGATCTCCACCCCGATCGATCGCGATCGACGGCATAGGCGATGTCTAAAAGGAAAAGAAAAGGTCGAGTCGACGGGTAAGGGGGGGAAGGGGAAGAAACCCCGGGTGATGTGTGGGCGGGGGGAGGGGAGATATCTCAAGAATGAAGCGTATGACACACTCCAAACTGTTCGGGAGTGAAGAACGACATCATTCGTTCGTGAGATTTCTGCCGAAGCATTGCAAACTACGATGGAAAATGTCTCACTTCGAAGCCGGGAGCGCATCGAGATGAGAACGGCACGCACTCGAAATCATTTATCGCGGGCGAACGACCGTGCAGTGTAGGTACGTTCGTGCGAGAAACGACGGCCGCACGTGCTACACTCTTAGAAAAAGGGGAGCGATTTTTCTCAAAAAAGAG